TTTTTTTTTGAAAAACCGGCGAACTTTGGTCGGTTTTTTGATCGGTTTTTGTCGAATTTCTAGTAGTGTAAGTGTCGTCAATAAAAGTTATGAAATTCTTCTTTCCACTACGAGATGGTATTGACTTCATGTTGCAAATATCTATGTGAATTAAGTCTAAAGGATTTGAATTCCTTTCAACTTACTTATAAGGATGTTTAACATACTTTAATTTTATACACGTTTGACATTTTGAGTAACTACATTCAAACTTAGACACTACTTCCAAGTTAATTATTTTTCACAGAGTTTTGAAGTTGCCATGACCTAAACGTTCATGCCACAAATTATTTGATTCAAGAAAGTAAGAAGAAGCTGAAGTTTTATTCATATTAATGACAATTACATTGAGTTTGAAAAGGCCCTCAGTAAGGTAACCTTTTTCTACATATATTTTATTCTTACCAACTACAACCTTGTCGGAAATAAAATACACTAGAGTATGTTTTCAAGCGAATACAAAAAATTGAGTATAAAATCACAAGGATTTTAATTTCGGTTCTGAGTAGAAAATCAGAAAGTCTTTAATCTCAATCTGGAGTAGAAAATTACTAGGATTTTGGTCTCCCAAAGAAAAATATAAGATGAACACAGAAATGTAATAAATTTCCTCAAACTTGTTGAAAACCGTGTTTGCAAATAAATTCTGCAAAAAATTAAAATAGAAACAAAAATAGAAGTAGAAGAGTTCTGAGCCCAATAGTAAATTATATTTTCTTAAGGAATTTAACTCCCTCACTGTTGCCTAAGGTTGTTGGATTAATTCATCGCAGGATATAACAAAACAATTATTCTATAATACTAGCAATGAAAATTATAAAACTTCACCGAACTCGACAAACAGATGAAAATCACACTGGACACTTATGTTTTTTGTTTGAAAACTAAACAAAAATGCGGAGAAGAGAGGGGAGAATGTATGATGTCTTTTGGTTGTTCAGTGTCTGAAAAATGAGGCTAGTCCTCTATATTTATAGCTAACGATTTGGGTCTCAATAGGTGCCAAAATACCTCTTCGTTTGACAAGTTGTCTATTCGATAAAAATTAATTAAATTTTTATTAAGTTTTTGTTAGGCCGCGAACTGACCATTGGAAAAATTACTGCCGCGAATTTTTAAAATAAAAATTTATGTAAAAAATATCAGAAAAAGGAAAATAATTTTGGTTCAAAAAATTTATTAATTAATTGATCAAATCCAAAGTCGAATCGAGCGACAAAGACGGCGCGCGGCTTGTTCTCTTCTCAACTCTTTAAGAGTTGGAAGAAGTGCTTATATGTATAAGCACAAAAAAATTCTTCTTCCTATCCGATGAAGGACAAAGTTCCGTTGTAATAGGAATCAATTAAATATTTTATCATACCTTTTTCTTTGATTAAATAAAACCCAACAATTAGCTTTTAAATGATTTAATTGCATAATATTTTCTCTACAATTCACAGAATATAAGCTCTTTAAAAATATTATGGCAGAACAAATGTGTCATAACTTCCCGATAAATTAATCTTCTTGCAGAAAATAATTTTCGTTTGTTTTCGTAAATATACCTTCATCCAAAAATATTGCTAATTAGATCTTCTTTTCCTATGCGTTCATCAATTGTTAATTGTTTCTTCTGTCTCAATGTGTCATACTTATCTTTTTAGTTTGTCTAAAATAAATTATATTTTTTATTGTTTATTATGTGTAACTTTATCTTTTAATAAAAAAATTTGTAATATCTATAATTATTTTAAACTATCGTATTAAAAGTCAAAAGTCATCACATAAAATATGACCGAAGAAGTAATTTCGGCGATTTGTGATCCCCAGAATAAGGTTGTCTTGTTATAAATATCAGTAATCAGCAGTCACCTCACCGTCTCAAACCTTATTGCAGGAGCTATTCTAAAGCAAATTATTAAAAAGGAAAATAAAAGGTTAAAATATTGCGGACAGTTTCGTCATTTACTAGGTTAGTACATCACACGTGAGTGACACACCAAACTCACGTGAAACTTTTCCAAGATATTTTGAGCTAGGAGCAACAATCTCCACCGTCCAAATACTGTACAAGCTGAATCTAAAGGCCATGAACTAATAGGATCTTGTCATTAGTTTAGTTGTCAGAAAGTGAAGGAAAAAGAAGAAGAAAAAAGGATTTTCCTACAAAGAATAGATTCCTTCAAAGTGAGGAATCATCCAAAAGGAGTAATGGCGAACCACGACTACTTCTATTCATTGACCAAATTACCCTTACATTATCTCTTTATGCATTGGTGAAATAATTGAATGTTTGAAACCTAATTTTTCCTTTTAAAAGAGTTTATAAATAGAAAGAAGGAATATATACTTTCATGCTTCACCAAGACAAAATGGGAAATTTTCTAAAGAAAGGAAACCAATTTGAGAAAAAACAAACTCATCAGAAAGTTAGCAAAAGAACCTACTACAACAACGAGTTCAAGAGATTATAGAAAATGAAGTCGTTTTTGATTGAAAATATTTTATTTTTAAAGTGAAATTTTGTGATGCGAATTTGAATTAATCAGAATCAAAACATAGTATTAATTAGGTAGCAAGAAACTAATTAATCAAGAGGATAAAATTGTTAATTGAATTCCATAGTCGGGGGTAAAATAAAATTGGCTGATCAGCCTAAACTAATCATATTTTCTAGCTCAAAAGTAGAGTACATTACTTAGATAGTCACTCAATTATTCGAAATTACTTATTAAAGTCATATTTTTTTCCGTTTGTAAGCTAGGCTAAAAATTACATTTTTCTATAGTCAATTATAGCCTACAACAACAAGCAGTGGGTGCTAGGAAATATCCACGATCTACAGTAGATAAAAAAAAGGAAAAAGAAAAAGAAAAAAGAAAATCAAAAGCCATAAAAATAGCAAGTGGATGGACCCCATTAATTTCATTTTTTTCTCCACCCGTTGCGTAGGCCATTCATTACGGAGGAGGGAAACTAAAAAGCTTAAATACCCATACCTCCTCCTCCTTCTCATTCCTCAAAAATACATCAGAGAAAGCTCCAATCCATTGGAGCCTCTCAACATATAACATTTACTTTTAGTGAAATTTTAAGAAAGAGGGAGTTAAGTTGTGTCAGGTACTTTCCTTTTTCTCTCTCTCTTTTTTTTTTTTTAATTTCATTTTCTGTTTATGGTGATCTGAGTTTTTTTTTTTTTTTTTTGGGTTGGGTGATTTGAAGCTTCAAGTTTTGATTTTTGCATTTACATTCAAGTAATAAAGGGAGCTGAAATTTTTGATGTGCATTTTGTATAAAGTAGCTATTTTTTTCTTTTTTAATATATACAGTAGCTATGGATCTATGGTATTGAGTGCTACTTATATTCAAATCTAAAACGTTCTTGTTTTATGCTGTGATTTAATGTATTGATGGTCCGATTGGGATTGAAATGTGGATGGAACAAGATCTAGGCAGATTTGTGATTTTTAATGTTTATTTTTTATAGTACTGTTTATGTTTATGGGATTTGAGATTTCTACTGATCTATTTTACTTAGGGTGGTGTATTCTGGACGAAAACAACTTTTATTTGGCAATCCCTCCGTTCCAACTTATGTTAACCTGTTTGATTGAACACGGAACACGGAGTTTAAGAAAAAATTAAAGATTTTTTGAATTTGTGGTCCTAAACAAGTCAAAAAGAGATTGTGTGGTTATAAAAGCTTGTCATTAAGGGTAGAATTGGAAGTTTAAGTTAAATTGTTTTCAAATTTAGGAAGGATCATTCTTTTTTAAACGGACCAAAAAAAATAATTTCACATAAACTGGAACCGAAAGAGTAATATTTATTGTGTGTAAGGCTTTGTTTTGTCTCGCAATAAAATGAACTCGTGATTTTATGGACCCAAATATGTAAGGATTGGGTCCACTCTTACAAAATAAGCCCTCACAGTTAGTGTTAATAATTGTGCGCGCCACGTTGTAAAGTTTTTCATTTTGGACATACCATTTTGGTCATTTGTGGATCTTTAATGTTGAAATTTATTGCTGGGAAGTTTGCCATTTTTGGGCCGTAGTTATCTGTATGTATCCTAGTGCTTTTGGCCAGTACAAAGGGGTGTGAATCTTGACTTTATATATAAAGTGGTCCAGAATTCCTTACCATAATTGAAAGAATTTTATTAGGTGATGTTTAAAAATATCAAGATTTATAACTGGTCATTCAAAAATAGCCCAATTTTAAAAGTAATCAAAATTTAGTCACTTTTTATGTAAAGATAAATCTGAGCGAAAACACTGTTCAAAATCCGAAAAATACTCCAGTATATTATGCTGGAGTTCCAGCATAAGTATACTTGAACTCCAGCATATTATACTGGAGTTCCAGGATAGTATGCTGGAACTTTAGCATAATATGATGGAGTTCCAGCATAAATACACTAGAACTCTAGCATAATATACTGGAGTTCCAGCAATTATACTGGAGCCAGCAAAGTATACCGGTCCAGCATAATATGCTGGAGTTCATACACAAGTGCATCGAACTCCAGTATATTATGCTGGACCGGTCTCTATTGCAGCAAAACGGTAGCTATTTTTCATTGACTTGATAAACGCTGGCTATTTTTGATTGACAAATCCGAAAACTGACTATACCGTGAAATTTTGGCAATTTTATTCCTACAGCATACTAATCTTGAAACATACAACTAGAGTGATCCCTCATTCCCCCCGAAAAAAAACCTCAACCAAGTGGCGATTCATAGGTAAAACTCAATGATTTGAAATTAAACTCTCCATTTTTATGTTAGAAAAATAAATTATAAATTATAATCAGTTTGAAAAGATTCCCCTACTATGTTTAATCTTTTAAAAGAATTTCTTTTTCAAAAACTAATTGCAGTCAGGCAAAAGTTTAATTGGACCAGATCTTTGTGGAGTATTTTTTTAGTGTGTAGCTTGTCCAGTTCTGATCTTGTTTAGTCACATGCATAGCAGTATTGCTTTGTAGATCTAATTTTCAGGACCACCAAATAAAAATGCATTTCCTAATGTTAAAGGGCATACTGTGCCATAATTATATTGTCATGTGAAGATGTCTAGCTAGTTGCATAATTTTAGTTCGTCTCCATATAACTATATTATATTCACGAAAAGAATATAATATATTGTATTGGGACGTGTATTCGTATTGAACTTGAGATTTTCCAATAACATGCTCAGTGGATCTGATGTGACCTTGTAACATGTTCGTTAACTTTTATTGAATTAACTGGTATGATTGGCGGCTTCTGGTTTCCTTTGTCTATTCTGCCAGATTGCGTGAAGAGGCGGATCTAAGAATTTTAGTACATGAGTGCACAATGCACTACTAAAAAAAATAACAACATACCCACTAAAATTTTATTAGTGGAATATATTTTTCTTGGTAAATAACTCAACTTTTAACTAATTGCACCATTCAACCTTCCTAGAGAATGAGTGTCAATTAAAAAATATATATATAAAATATCTAATTTTGCGAAAAAACCATAGATTCACGTGCCCTATAATTTTGTCGATAAATCTGCCCCTGATTATGTGGTCCATCATTTTTTTAAAAATTCTTCTGTCTTGCTCGAGCTTTGTATCTTTCAACAGTTAATGACCGCCCAAGTAGTTCTTTATTTCCCGTGACTAATTAATAATTGTCAGGCGAGAAAATTGTTGATTCTTCTGCTTTATTTAATTGATAAGCTTGTCACCTATATTGTTTGCTCTGACCCAAGGAAAAAATATCCTACGTATATTCCACTAGTATTAAAGTTTGATTTACTACCTTATATAATTAACCTACTCAAGAAGAAAACAAGCTGATGGCTCATGCAAGGATATTCCTTGATACTGCTGTATTTGTTTGAATGGGAAAAGAAGAATTAAAAATTGTCCACTTCCTTGTGTCTTTTGTATCTCAGGTTAAAGTTCAAAGTATACAATTAAATACTGGCTGTTTTATGGAAGAAAAAAATACTACATATACTTATTAGTTTTTACTTTAAATACAATGTTTGTTTTGATTGTTACTTAAATTTTATTATATCATATCGTCAAATCTCTCGTTATGTAACGATGAAATGTGCCACTTTATGTAACGACGGATTTGGTGTGGTTGCGTCGTTACCTTGTCTTTTTTTTTTTTTCTCAATCTTACCTTTTATTATTATTAAATAATTTTATTTTATTATTTTACCCTACATTTTTATATACTGTATCATAATTTTTCTTTATAATATTGCAAGTTTATTCATCATATTACTGGTGCGTCATACCATGAAACGACGACAAAATGACACAATTCACCCAAACATTGCATTCACCAAACGATACAGTATAATACAATACGATACGATACATTATGAAATGATATGTAACAACCATCTAAACAAGCTGTAAGGAGACGCAAGCAGATAAAAGATGAGCTGTAACTTGATGGCATGTTGAAATTGCAGCAGTCTAATGGCAACTTGATGATTAAGTAATAGTACTTAATACTCAAAAGTCAAAGAAGTATCTTCAAAGAGAACTATTTTTAGGGTGATTAAGCTGTTTTTTGCTCTGTTCTTTCTTACTTAATGCTTACTACTTGTCTCTTTCGTTGTTGGCCATGCTCAAAGTCAGCTGTTGTACTTTGAATGAATCAACTTGCATAGTCAGCCATGATTTAAAACAGCAACATTTTCTTATAATCCTCTCATTGCAGGTTACTGAACAATGGGTGCTGGAGGTCGAATGTCGGTTCCATCTGAGGGCAAGAAGTCCCAGTCTGATGTCTTCCAAAGAGTACCCCATTCGAAACCACCCTTCACTGTTGGTGAGATCAAGAAAGCCATCCCACCCCATTGTTTCAAGCGATCTGTCCTACACTCTTTCTCCTATGTTGTTTATGACCTTACAATTGCCTTTCTCCTCTTCTATGCCGCGACCAACTATTTCCATCTCCTGCCTTACAATCTCTCCTACATAGCTTGGCCGCTTTATTGGATCTGCCAAGGCTGTAATCTAACAGGAGTTTGGGTCATTGCCCACGAATGTGGTCACCATGCCTTCAGTGACTACCAATGGCTTGATGATACTGTAGGCCTTGTCCTACATTCTACTCTCCTTGTCCCCTATTTCTCTTGGAAATACAGTCATCGTCGCCACCATTCTAATACAGGTTCTTTGGATCGCGATGAAGTATTTGTACCAAAGGTGAAGTCGGGTATTAGTTGGTTCTCCACTTATCTTAACAATCCACCAGGCAGAATCCTTATACTTCTTGTCCAGCTCACTCTAGGCTGGCCTCTGTACTTGATGTTCAATGTTTCAGGCCGACCCTATGACCGGTTCGCTTGCCACTTTGATCCTAATAGCCCTATCTACACAGACCGTGAGCGCCTTCAGATCTTTGTTTCTGATGCTGGTATTTTTGCTGTACTCTTTGGACTTTACCATCTTGCGGCAGCAAAAGGACTTGCTTGGGTTGTCTGTGTTTACGGATGTCCATTGCTCATTGTCAACGGATTCCTCGTATTGATCACATATTTGCAGCACACACACCCTTCATTGCCTCATTACGACTCATCCGAATGGGACTGGTTGAGGGGTGCTCTTGCCACAGTTGACAGAGATTATGGCATTCTCAACAAGGTATTCCACAACATCACAGACACTCATGTCGCACACCATTTGTTCTCAACTATGCCACATTATCATGCAATGGAAGCCACAAAGGCGATAAAACCAATATTAGGTGACTACTATCAATTTGATGGGACGTCGATTTGGAAGGCCATGTATAGAGAAGCAAGGGAATGTGTTTACGTTGAGCCAGATGAAGGTGACCAGAACAAGGGTGTCTTTTGGTATAAAAACAAGCTTCATTAGATTCTCTCATAGAATGTAATACCATGGCAATCAAAGAGACTGGGAAGTTTTAGTCCCTTGCTAGAAGAGGCTTTGCTTCCCTTCCTGGGATTTAGGCTTGTTTTTATTGATTTCTAGTGAACTTTCAATTTTACTAAAAGTGATTTCCTTATTTGCAATGATCTCAAAGTACGGTGAATGCTTCGTTATGATCATAAATCTCAAAATCTTATGGTTAATAGAAAACAGAAAAAGTACATTACATGATTTGAGACAGGATTTCAATTAAGATTTTGAGAGAAAGAATTTTGCACGTATTATAATATCAAATACTAAACTGGATTTCTTTTATCAGGATCAAATGATCAAACTTCTAGATAATTTTCCTTAATTTGTAATCCATGAGTAGCTTGATATTAGTTTCATTGTATCTGAAAATCAGAGTGCAAGCATAGGAAATAGAGGCGGATCCAGGATCTTGGTAAGATGAGTGCACTATTAAGAATAAGTGAATACAAGATATAAATTTTACGGGTTAAACCATTAGTTCTTAATTTTCATTAATGTGGTGCTTATGTTTTCCTGAGCCGAGGGTCTATTGGAAACAACCTCTCTATCCTCACAAGGTAGGGGTAAGGTCTGCGTACACACTATCCTCCCCAGACCCCACGGTGTGTGATAATACTGGGTATGTTGTTGTTGTTGTTGTTGTTGTAACCATTAGTTCTTACTACTGCACCCATTAAACTTTTGGAATAAAATTGATTTTTTAAAATAGTAATTTTGTTACATCTATGTTTATACTTCGTGTAGCAATTATTGGGATGAGTTGAATCCGTTGACTATATGCTACTAGTTTTAATGTACGTATTTTATCTATTATTTAAGATTTTACGGTGCTAGGAGAAGAATAGAAATTTCAACGTGCGAAAATTTGAAAGAATAAACCAAACAGAAAAAAGAAAAAGTACTTAATTAATAGCAAAAAAGTGACACCACACATGCCCATCTTTCGTGTACGTCTAGTTCTAGAAAAAAATAATTCAAGATTGATATAAGATTTGAACGCACAATTTCACTTAGAGAGATGTACCTAATAACCATATATCATATGATACTTTGAGCACACATATATTTATTTATTTTTAAAAATATATTATATTATATATGACCTAGGGAAGGAAGCATGGGTGCACATGCCCATGGGACCCCCTAGACGCCCTGATATTAGGGAACTACATAAAAGTTAATTAAGTTGTTGAAAAGAAAAAAACCATTGGATTACGTTTTTCCTAATCACTTACTCAGCATCAGCACAAAGGGCCTCTCCAGTTTCTTATAATTGCAATTTGGTACTCAATTCTTAGAAATATCATAATGTTCTAATTGGTGCTGCTTGCATTACTCTCAATGCATGAAGCGTAATGCAAGCTGCTTCTACAATTTAGTTGTTTCCTTAAAACAAAAGTATAAACGAGCTGGAATCAATCCAAGGCCTTCCAAGAGTTAAGTGACACATGGCATTAATCAGAGAGTCTATTGGTAATTATTGGATTAGTGAGCTGATTCCAACCCACGACATTACAATCTATTTGGTTGGTATCCGGAAACCATGGAAGCCTTTCTCCATAAAGTATGTTATTGGTGGAATCCATCCCTGCAGAAAACTTTTATTTGTTGTGTCAGCTTCTCTTTTCGTGCAATGCATCATGGAGGGTCAGGTTTGACTTACTTTCTTCTAAAAGTGATCATAAACTATAATGATCTGATCGGTTATTTTGAGTTTTACAATCCCATTTTTCTATTTGACACTTTCTTATTCATAGGGTATTTTATAAATTACGGGTATGCATGGTTCGCATTCCGAGAGGTACAGAAATAATTTAGAACGGTGAAGCCTTAAGTTGAAAAGAGCTGAACAAAGCCAATATTTTGGGTAAAAGAGCTTGATTTTGTGATTTGAACGCTATGATGGTGTATTGGGTGATACCCTTTTTTGCTTGAGCCCGACCGGGTTGGGTCCGGTCCGGGGCAAGTCGGGGCCATCGAACCCGACCTGGATGCAAGGTAGAACGACGGCCACGTCTACAACCGAGGTCGAGTCATTTCGAGACCGTTGCAGAGCTCGATATGAGTCACCACCGGATGGAGAAACACACAAGGTCGGAAGCCGGACTCGTAACGGATAACCAAGCGCCGCCGGATATCGTCGCCCANAAATTTTATGAAATTCTTAGCCTTTTCTGAAATTTTCTACTCTCTATCTCTTAGGTCCCTTCGGTCTAGCTCTAAATTCTCAAATTTTTATCTCTTAAGCTCTCAAGTTCTCTTAGGTCTTTTTAGGTCTTTTAGGTCTAGCTCTTAATTCTCAGATTTTCATCTCTTAAGCTCTCAAGTTCTCAGGTCTCTCTAGGTCTGATTTCTTCCCAAGATCTGCTCTAAAATCTCTTAATTTTTCAGATTTTTTATCTCTTCAACCCTAAAATCTCTGCCTTGAAAGGCAAGATAAAGATGCCTTTATAGGCAAGGGAAGTAGGGCAGCCTAGACAATTCAGTTTTACAATTAGGCCCTTCTCCAATTCTTGTTTTTGCCTAGATAGCCTTAGGTAATTAACAGATTTCAACAACAGTCCAAAAGCCAGCTTCTCAGAAGCTTCTTAGGCGGTTACCTAAGATTCCCTTAGGCTAAACTATCCAAATTACCCCCTAAATTCTCTGATTTTACTTTGGGACACCAAATGGGTCAAGACTGACCCAGATTTTACCCTCTAACACTAGGCTCAATCGGAATAGGCTTGAATCCCTACTCAATTGGGCCCTCTGATTTCTCAGAGTCCAGTCCACACCACGAATGGACTGCCCAAACAAAATTAATGCTAAGTCCTAAACATTGAGCCCTTTCTTTTCCCTTCTCTTTTCTCACAACAAAACGTAATATAGAGACACAAAGGAGGCGAGCACATGCTTAATAAAACACTTAATCTAAACTAACATGCTCAAATCAATTAACCAAATATATATATACATATATATATATATATATATAGAAACAGAAACTCAGAAGAGATGAATAAGAAAGGAACAAGACAAGAGAGAGGACTTAAATACCTAAGAAAAGGATGAGAATTCTTGACAGAATCCCTGATTTTTGATTCGAAGCGAAAAAGAGTGTCAATCGATTTGTTCTTGCAAGAACAAATGTCTAGCCCTCCTCTTAACCCAAAATCGACTTCTACAGAACGGACTCCTTTAGACGAAGAAAGAGTGCTGAACAAACTCTATGGCTCCGTTTTTGTGATCTGAAATTGAGGAGAGATGGAGAGGATTTAGGAGGAAATAGTTATGGTTGAGTGTTTGAAAGGTTATGGGGATTATGTGGTTGAAGCCTAGTGGGGATTTGAGGTTACCTCGCCAGTGGGAATGGCGGATTAGGGTTTCTCAGAGGAGGAAGAGATGAAGAAGATGAAAGAGATGGGGCGGAACTGGTTTGGTCTTTGAGGTGAATTTGGACACTTTTAAGAGAAATGGGGAAAGTGTGGGAGCCGTTGGATGAGCAAGATTGAAGGGCTCAGATCTATTTTAGATGTGGAACTCAAAACGACGCCGTTTGGGTCTCAAGAAAATTGAACCGGATAAAAATGGGTTCTGGGCCAGTAACCAACGGGTATGGAGGGGGCTGTTTGGGCCTGAGCAACAATTAGGGAATATGCCCAAATCTGACTCATCTCTTATTCTAATTCCTTTTCTTTTCATTTCTTCCACAAATTCTTTTTTTTTCTATTTTTTTTCCAAAGTTAAATTAAAATCTAAATTAATTCCTAGAACCTAATTAACCTAAAAATAAGACACTAATTAACACAACTAACAAATTAAAAGAAAAACTACTAAAAATCTAAATTAATACTAAAAGGTGCAACTTAGACTATTTTTGTGATTTTCCATTTTATAAAAATAACTTAATTACTAATTAATTCTTAAAATGCAAAGTTAAATCCTAAATGCATATGCAACATATTTTTGTATTTTTCATTAATTAAATAAAACAAACGTGCACAACCAATATGCAAATAATACCAGAAAATGCCACAAAAATTCTCAAAATTACAAACAATGGGAAAATTATTTTGTTTTGAATTCGTGGGAGTAATTCATATAGGGCAAAAATCACGTGCTCACAGTTGCCCCTCTTTGCTCGGAAACACGAAGAGTTTTCGTGCAAAGATAAAGTGAGCGGATACGAGCGACTTTTGCCCGTTTGAATACTCCGTGGGAAGCATTTTTTGGAAAGATTTGACCGCACCCTGCTTCCGAGGTTGCCTACATATCCTTGGCTATAAAGGAATCAGGTCAGTGTAGTTCAGGAAGGTTTGGTAGCTGGGACTACCATGAAGCTGTGATTTCACTTTTGCTACTGGCTACTGCTTACTGAACCCCTTATTACACCGTGACAAAATAAAAAGAGGCTATACTAAACTATGATCTATGAATTACAAAACCTATCGATATCTTCAAACTTGATCCTACAGCTCTTGTTGCCATGCTGACTTGTATTCTCCTAGTGAAATTCCTCTGTTGTCTACTTGAATTGTAATCTGAGATGTTTTCCCTTTCTTCAGGTGGACGCCTAACTGCCAAAACTTGAACTACATTCTGAGATGCTTTCTTTTTCTCCAGGTGGACGCCTGACTGCTAAAATTGAAATGAATTCCCATGCTCTCCAGGCGGGCTCCTGACTGCTAAACTTGAAATGTATTCCCTGCTTTCCTGGCGGGCTCCTGATTGCTAAAACTTGAACTGCTTCTCCCTGTTCTCCAAGTGGGTACCTAATTTCAACAAAAATAGACAAAACAAAGAAAATTTTCTGCCCCAGTTTGGTAGCTGGGCACATAGGTGAGTGTTAAACTGAATTCTTCTACCAACTATTACTAAGAATTTGAAAGCTAGGTCCTATTATCCAGGGAGGTCCTGACAACTCTTAATTAAACGACAATTGTAAATCTAAGTTATATCTTCTAAAGGTATTACTTCCGCTAAGTACTGTTACCTAAGAGGGTCTTAAAACTACATCCTATTATCCAGGAAGGTCCTGACAACTCTTAATTAAACGACAATTTTAAATCTAAGTTATATCTTCTAAAGGTATTATTTTCGCTACATCTTGTTATCTAACAGCAATCTTAAAGCTAGGTCTCATTATTCAGAAGGGTCCTGAAAACTCCTAATTGAATCCTATCTTAAACATGCAAATTTTGAAACCAACTTACATT